AGGAGAGAGAGAAAAGACCTGAGAGTGAGGAGAGAGAGAGAAAGGACGAAGCGAGAGAGAGAGAGAGAAGGGAAAGATCGAGAGCAGCGAAGAGAGAGAAGAGAGCTGAGAGAGATCGAGAGAGAGAGAGAGACGCGAGAGAGAGCAGAGATTAGAAATAGAGGAAAGATGCAGAGAGAGCAGATGAGAGAGAGAGAGCACGAGGAGAGCAGCACTGCCAGAGAGCATGGAGCAGTGTTGTGGTGTTGCTGTATGTTGTGTGTGTGTGTGTTATGTGTGTGTGCTGTGGTGTGTACATGTGTTGTAGTGTGCTGTGTTGTGTGTGTGTCGTGGTGTTGTGTATGTGTTGTGTGTGTGTGTGTCGTGTGTGTGTGCCCGAGGGAGTTACGCAGCATACTGACGTGGAGCGCTAGTCGGTTAGCGCCGCCGCCGCCCCAATGTCGGATTTTACGTACGCCATCTTTTTTTGCGTAGTTTTCCATATCGCTCCGTGTTTGATGACATGCAGCGACTCGGTGCGCGAGTAATCGCCGACTACACAGACACATAAGCATTCCGGTTATGGTCGGTGTGCTGTGTGGTAGCTGTGTGTGTGTGTGTTGTGCTGTGTGTGGTGTGTGTGCGGTGTGCATGTGTGAGTGTGTGTGATGTGTGGGCGATTGTGTTGCGTCGTGATGCGTGTAGCATGGTGCTGTGTGCGGGTGTGCATGTGTGTGTGTGTGTGTGTGTATGGCCGCGCGTGGGTGTGTGCGTGTGAGGAGAGAGGGAGAGAGATGAGAACGCGCGTCGTGTTGTGTGTGTGCGTCGCACCGCCGTGTGTGTGTTGTGCTGTGCTGTTTTTTTGGGGGGGGAATGCTACCCGTGTGTGCGTGCGCCTGTGTGTCGTGCTGCTTAGCGGAGCTATAACGCAGACTTTGTGATCAAATATTGTAGGCCAAAGAGCCTGCGCCTAAATGTGCCATTTAAGAATGCCTGGAAAACGGCTGTGCATCACCCGAGGTCGAGCCGCCGACTGCTTGCCAATCGAAATGCACATCATTAAAGCCAAAAGCTCTCTTGAGCACGCGACAGTGAATGCTGTACCACGAGCCGTTCCCATACACGCATGCCAAGCACCACACATGCCACGCCACGAACGCACCACACGCGCCACCATAGAGCACTGGACACACTATGCACGCGACGAACGCACCCACGCGTCCCCATACATGCAACGCAACACACATGACGCACGAACAGCACCACGCGTCCGCATACTATGCACGCACACACATGCCACGCACGAACGCACCCACGCGCCGCCATACATGCACGCACACGTATGCTCACGTACGCTGCACGCCGCACGCACACACAGAACACGACAACGCACGCACATACGCACGCACCGTGCGCACGTCGACGCACGCACGCACGCACGCACATACGCACGCACGCACGCACATACGCACGCACGCATACACGCACGCACGCACGCACATACGCACGCACACACGCACGCACGCACGCACGCACATACGCACGCAGTCACACTTATCACGACTTTGACATAGATCGTTTCAGGCGATGTCCAGTCTCCCCGTGACGGGCGCTCTCGATTCTCGGACACTGCGGAAGATGGCGGAACCCAGATGCGCCAATAAGGACATGGGTAGAAGAGGTTCGAATAAACGGCCGTCGCGGCGAAAGCGCTACGTAGTCAGTACGTATGATCGATTTACCTACTGCAGCGTTGCAATAGTCTGCCAGTCTGTCATATGTTTCACACTACAATGTGACACAGAGTAGGCATGAAAGACGGATAGACACACACATACAGAAAGAGAGAGAGAGAGAGAGAGAGAGAGAGAGAGAGAGAGAGAGAGAGAGAGAGAGAGAGAGAGAGAGAGAGAGAGAGAGAGAGAGAGAGAGAGAGAGAGAGAGAGAGAGAGAGAGAGAGAGNGAGAGAGGAGGAGAGAGAGAGAGCGCGTGTGTGTGTGTGTGTGTGTGTGCGTGTGTGTGTGTGTGTGTGTGTGTTGGGGGGGGGATATGTACCCGTGTGTGCGTGCGCCTGTGTGTGTGCGCGCGAGCCTATAACGGCAGACTTGTGATCAAATATGTAGGCCAAGAGCTGCGCTAAATGTGCATTTAAGAATGCTGGAAACGGGTGCATCACCCGAGGGAGCGCACTGCTGCAATCGAAATGCATCATGAAAGCAAAAGCTCTCTTTGAGCACGACAGTGAATGTGTACCCACGAGCCCGTTCCCATACACGCATGCAAGCACACACATGCACGCACGAACGCACCCACGCGCCACCATAGATGCACGGACACACATGCACGCACGAACGCACCCACGCGTCCCCATACATGCACGCACACACATGCACGCACGAACGCACCCACGCGTCCGCATACATGCACGCACACACATGCACGCACGAACGCACCCACGCGCCGCCATACATGCACGCACACGTATGCTCACGTACGCATGCACGCACGCACACACGCACGCACGCACGCACATACGCACGCACGTGCGCACGTGCGCACGCACGCACATACGCACGCACGCACGCACGCACATACGCACGCACGCACGCACATACGCACGCACGCATACACGC